TTAGGAAAGGAGCAACCTCAGTCAGATCCAGCAGTGCCGGGAGCTAGCTTGCTGCCGTGGAAAGCCTTTGGACTAAAATAATCCTAGTTCTTCTGCCATTTCCTAGCGGTGTGACCTGGGGGGGTATGCACGTCACTTCTCCGAGCCTCTGTTTCCTCTTCTGTAAAATAATACCTACCTCACAAGGCTGTTGCAAAGATTTCAAAAGATAGCACATGTAAACTGCCTAGCACAGCACCTGGCATGTAGTGAAGTGCACAAGAAATATTAACCTCCTCCTCCCGGCCCCGGTCCCAGTACAGTGTAGCAGTGCTTTAAAATGATGCCTTTCATTTCTCAGTTACTCTGGTCTCTCCTCGAGGGCTTAGCCCCCAGTTTTTAAACAAAAGACATGATTTCCCCACCCCACCCCCCCCTTCAGAAAACCTCTCACTGGCTCCCATAGCATTCAGTAGAAGGTCCCATTTACTTAGGGTTTGGCTTTTCAGGTCCCCATTTGCTTTCTCAGCTTCATCCTTTGCCACTTTCCTCCTTCCACTTGTTACTCTAGACAAGGTCAACTCTTCACACAAGTTGTTCTCTGGGCCTGGAATAGAAACATTACTAAGAGTTTTGATGCCCAGAGTGAACAGGAATTGTTCTGACATTGAGGGAATCGTGTGAAAATGCTATAAATGCAGAACACACCCCCCTCCACCCCAGTCCAACTCCCTTTACCTTATCCTCGGGGCTCCCCAGCCATTCATTTTTTTGTGCCCTTTAGGTTTTAGTGGCCTGGGACAAAGCTTCAATTTCCCCTCCTTACATTTGACTACCTTACCTAGACTACCTTTCCCCACCCCACCCCTCTCAACCAGATTAACTCTTGACCCCCTCCCCCCGCCCCTAGACTGGGGTATGTTCTCATCTGAGCTCTCATGGCACCCTGAGCGTTCCCCACCCCCTTCTCAGCAATAATCACCTTGCACAGCAGTGTTTTTCAAAGTGTGCTCCTTAGACCGCCTGTTAGAGTCACCTTTGGTGTTTGTTAAAACAATTGATCCTAGACCCCACTCCTGATCTACTTAATTGGACTATCTGGGCACATAAGTGGAATTTCACATTTTGAACAGGTTCCCAGGTAATTCTGATGCACACAAAAGTTTAATGTATAATAATCATCTTCCCTACTAGACTGTGAATACCTTGAGGGCAGGGACTGTGTCTTTTGTTGTTGTATTTTTTAATACTCAGCATGGTGTGTGGAACAGAGTGGTTGCCTGACTAAAGTTTATTGAATGAATGTATGAATGACGAATGAATAAGCAAAGTTTCCCTGTTGTACTCTGATATCCATACCGGTGTTTGTTATTTCCTGGGCAGAAAAGTTTGGTTACTTCTCCATTTGGGCTATGTTAATATTATTTTTGCAAATGTCCCAGGACTCATACATATAAATGACTATTGTCTGCCTCAGAAGCTCTTTGGAAGTTAACTTGGGGAATTGTCTAGAGCATGTGGCACCATTCTTTTCAAGACCTTTCCAATCTTTTCAAACTTCGTTCTTTGAAGGTGGATTTAAGTTTGGGCTACAGCCAAAAATCACTCAGAGCTTAACCTACTGAATAATGCAGGAAATTAAACTGGGTTTGAGGTAAGCAATGACGTTTCTGAGCCAAATAATGAAAAGTGCTTTCCAAGAAACAACATGGTGGTAAAGTACACCTGTGGGGAGTGTGGTGAGTCCTGGAGACTTCAAGGCTTTCATAGATTGTGGCAATGCCAGGGACCTTATTGACTGCCTCTAGCTAAATAAACCCAGTTGGACAAAGGGAATAGGACCTGTATTTAACATCTTCAAGGAAGGTGACGCCCTCAGTTTTCATTGTTGTTGCCCTGCTCAATCTATTCCCCTACGATCCTTTCTGCTAGCAAATTATTCTTTCTGTCTGCAATTTATGCTCGTTTCCACTTTTTTATATTGTCTTATTGAAGAAAGCACAAAATTAATCAAAATAAAGTTAAACCTGTTTTGAGAATATGAAAGAAATTTTAATGCCACATTGGAGTTGTGACTACTTGTAAGAATTGCTGCATCTGTATGTGTTTTTATCATGTAATTCCGTTGTGTAACTTTGGATGCAGTGAAATTCAGATTTCAGCAAAATCACTTTTATGTTCTTTTCAGCTTAAATACACTAGGTGAATTTTCTAAGCTTCCATGGTTTACATATTTATATATGACTACCTGGATGGAGCAATCCATGGATGGACTTTTTGATAAGCTCAAATATTTGATACCCTTTCCTCTACAGAATGGAAATGTGAGGCTGACAGATAAGAACCACTCCCATGCTTATTTCAATTCCTGAAGCCAATTGCAGCCTTGGAGCCGTTGGCTGTATTTGGCTGTGTATTACAAGTTGGCCAGGTGGACTGCCATCAGGGCAGGTAAAACTGCCTTTTACGGTCTGGTCTGCCAGCTTCAGACATATACTGTGTTGTTGTTGTTGGCTAGAATATTTATTAGACTATTGTCGGACTATTTTTTATTGAATATTTTATCCCAGGCTTGTTTGTACTGGGAGCTCTGGACCAATAGTGTCTCTCCTAGTGACAGAAATCTGAGCATCTGTGGATTACACAGCCTCATCCTTCTAAAATATCCCAGCCATCCAAAATGCTATATTATGAATTAAATAAATATATATGTATTCATGAGTTCTCGACTGTCTTTCACTGGAGTTTAAATTGGGGGAAGATGAAAAGAAAGACGGCCGTGGGTTACTGGAATTGTCTAAATGACTTGGGGGAAATCAGATATCATATAAAAGGTAGAGATCTGGGCAGAGAAGATCCAGGGGGTCCAGAAATCGGGATCCCATCATGAAGACTGGTTTCCAGGAGCAGACAACAGTCAGGAAGACTAAAGAAATGAAGGTATAAGGCCCAAAGAGACACGCACATTACTTTTTAGGGATTGAAGCAGAAACTGGGAATTAAGGAATAACAAAGAAAATCCCACAACTGGAACCTATTGGTTAAGGTCCGAGTAGGGCCAGAAGTGACTTGAAATAGGTTGTCAGAACAAGGGCCTATAGAAATGATGGCTCCAACACAAGAAGATTAAAATATAAAAGAGACAAGAATTTGGAATATCAGGGCCCTAGTGGTCTAACTGGAGAGCAACCTAGGCAAAGGCCAAATATGGGGCTATTACCCACAGCTAAGATTGGGATGTGAAGTTTGGAAAGTCTGGTTCTATTTGATAGGCCAGGCCAGAGAAGATATGGGGTTCTTTATGCTCCCCTACCTAGGAATAGGGTTCCTACTGGAGTCCCAGTGAAACTGAGCCTGCAGGTGGGGGTGAGGTGATCTGTTTATAAAGATTAGGAGTAACAGAGGCCATCAAGTCGGTTGTTACATGGACAGTGGAAATGTATACAGCATGATAGCTAATGAGAATGACTCTCCTCCACTGTGAATTTCCAGGGGTGGAGGATCAAGGTGGTCTTCCTATAACTGTTTGGCACGATATGCAAATTACAATTGTGACTGGCCTGGACGGGTCATTCAAGAGGCATTCATTGTGTTCCCAGTATTCCTCTCATTTCTCTGGGGGACATACTAACATGAAAAAAGTATTCCTAACATTTATAATCTAGTGGGGCATCCAATTCAATAATTCATCCCAGATAGTTTTTAACCTACAAACTCAAATTACTCAAGGTAGCTGAAAAAGGAAGCCTTTCCAGAAGACACAGGGGTGAGAGTAGAAGCTCTTACCAGACTTGTACATAGGACATGCATAGTAAATGCTGATTGAATAGAAATAGAACCTGATAAGCAGAATGACAAGCAGGCCACCTTGTACACTATGAAGTTTGTCTTAGGTGAACTTCACAGCACCACTTGTATAATCCCTCTTGGACACATATCTCTGGTCCAGCATCCCCACAATTGCCTCTTTGTAACAGGCAACCGTTCTTTAAGGCCAGTCTTCTTCAAAGGGAATAATTACAAGAACTAATAAATTAGCCATTGATAATGTGCTAATGGAGGAGGATGGGGGAAATTCACACCTCCTCCAGCTTCTCACTCTACCTCTTCCTTCCTTCTCAGAAAATAAGAAAATGTTAACAAGAGCCTTCTAGAGACAATGCTTTTGTTGTCCAATCTGGGGGTTTGGACAAGGTGGGGAGGGCAAGCTGTAGACTTGCAGGTTTGAAAGGGTCAGCCAGCAATGCTCTGGCAGGCTTGTAGGGGACATATTTGGGTTGTCTTTAACTCTACTTCTACTTTAACTCTACTAGCATTTACTATGTATGTCCTATGTCAGGGTAGCCTTGTCCACAGAATGCAGAGGATCTGCTACTCCTCCAGCCAGATTGAAGTCCCAGAAAATGGAATTTGGGCTGGTTTTCTCTTTCATGTCCAGTGGCAGGAAAAAGCCATTATGATCTACACATCTTTTTGCCCAGCTTAACTCCCTTGGTGATAAGGGAGGGTGTGGTGATACACCAGAAATGTGCAATTCACAGCAAGCAGCTGTCAAGCACACAAGTCCAAGGCCTGAGTGATTTAGCAGGTAAGGGTACAATGGATCATTTGTTTGATTCAAACAGTTTATTATTTACACAACGAAAGAAAAAGTAGTCCAAGGTTCCTGCTCCTAGTGGTCCTTGTCCCAAACACCAAAAAGGAGGACACCGAAAAAAGGGATCAGAGGACTGCAATGGTAGTTGTGGGACATCCCTTTGCTAAGAAGCCGATTATAGTATGTAGCTCTATTCTGAGAGGGATGAGTCAGGAAGTCTCTTATCTCATCAGATCCCAGGAGGTGGGAGGGGATGAAAAACTCTTGACAGCCTTCCAGGGGATGGGGGGATAAGGAGGCAGTGGGAGAAAAGCAGCAGTGGCCTTGAAGCAGCTCCTTGTAGGCCTCCCATCCTCTAGTGCCCTGGGAGGATCACAGGCGTTCTGCCAAGACTCAGATTAGTTATGGTTCAAGCCTTTGCCTGCAGGACCTCTGTAGATAGTGTGAGGCTGCCTGGGTGCCATGGAGGAGCTGTTCTCGTACAGCAGCTAGCTGAACACCCAGGTACCTTCCCTGGTGTGGGGGGGAAGCCAAAGGAAGCAAAGTCAGGGTCTTTTGAGGAACTCCCCCCCCTCCCTCCCTTCTGCTGACCTTCCATTCATGTCCTTGCACTCTGCTCAGTGTCTTTGGGGTTGGGATGGTGTGGAGGCAGGGATTAAAGGAACAACAGGACACACAACAAATTCAGACCTGGCAAAATTCAGTACCAAGGCCAGAGAATCCCAAAGCCCAAGTCCTTTGCTATCTCTGGCTTAGTTTTTCAACTAGAAATTGAAATGTATGAGTAATTTCTAAGGTCCCTCTTAGCTCTAACAGTAGGCATTTCCATAAATGCAAATTTTCTGAATGTAGTAGTAGGAGCCTAATCTGCATAACTACCCCAAGAATGTTGGGACATCAGGGCAGATCATCAGGAACCTACGACTAGAACAGAAAGGTAGATAACATTGCTGTTACTTTGGGACCTCCGTCAGACTCCTTTTCAAGGTGACTGTACTCCTTTTTACACACTTCTTTTCACTCAGAGCTCCCATGCCAGTCTCACCCACTTATATTTGACACCATTATTTTTGAGCTTTCCACTTCAGCCCTCTTCCCCTGTTTTATTCACTAACTGTACAAAATACAGATCCTGCTCTAGTTAGTCAGGTCTCAGTTTCAAATTTCAGGTTAGCTGTCTGACAGTTTTCCACGTATCCATGTAGGAAATTGCCAAAGACATTCCACTTTCCAAAGGCAGAACAGGACACTTGATGCAGAAACGAACAAGGGTCCTATGCGCCACCTTCCCCAATCACAGCCTTTCTTCCTCAAACTTCCACAAATATACTCCTTACATGGAAGAGAGAGAGTCTTGGCACTTATCATGCAATTACTCACTTATTCATTCATTCAACGAATCGTTTATTGACAGAATCTTCGTGTCAGGGGCTGGAGTCCAGTGATGACTGAAACACATAGTCTCTGCCCTCATGAGACTCATAATAATCTAGAGGGGAGACAGACCACCAATGAATGAACCTTTGTAATAATAGGGGCTATCACTGATTGCTTACACGTCCCTGACACTATTCCAAGCATTTGAAATGTAGTAACTAATTTAATCCTTCCAGCAACCCTAGGAGCTAAAGACTATTATTGGCTCCATAGAACATGAAAAGTTAATCCCTGTACCCTTGCCCAGACCGGTAGATTCCGTGATGCCTGGTGAGCAGCTAGCAAGGCTCCTGGCCTTAGCTGCCTCTGGCGCGGGGGTAAAGGAGTTTAACGCCCAGCACCTCAGAAATGATCCCGGCCAGTGGCGCCAGGATTTGGGGTTCACCAGGAAGGATTCTCAGGACTGTGCCAGACACCCTCAAAACCGCCCCCGCCAAGGCTTTCCCATTCTCTTTTTTCCTCCCCTTTTCCTCCCAGTACCCCCCCCCCCAGTACTCCCCCTTTCCAGGCCGGCCCCTCCCTCTGAGCCGCCTCTTCTCTGACTCATTTCCCCTTCCCCGCCCCAAAGACCTTGGCTCTCTCTCTGGAGCCCTTCCCTCTGGCAGGAAATTGAGGAAGGGCCAACTAGCTTTGAGAACCAGGTGAGCGCTTTTCCCAGCGGATGAAAAACGCCCCCTCCTCCCCCTACCGCGTTCGGAGGGACAGGAAATCGAGGGAGTTCCCGCAGCCCCGGCGGCTGGCTTCCCTGCAGCCTGAAGGCCCTAGTGGCCGAGCGTGGGAGGTGCCCCGCCCCGCCCCGCCCGGTGTCTCCTGGGATGTGAGGAGGGAAGGGGCGGCCCAGTCAAGACCGGCCGGCGGGGCCGCCGCGGGCTCAGGCGGGGTGAGCTGAGCGCGCTGGGGCGGGCACTCGCCGCGGGACAAGCTGGGCCACGGAGCCCGAGCTGGAAGCGGGAGATGCGCATGCGTGGAGAGGTGCGCAGAGGTGCCGACAGGAGCGGCTGTGGAGGGGCGTGGGGGCCACGCGCGCGTGTGGCGACTTACAGGGGCGTGTGTGGAGGTGTGCGTGGAGAATGGCAGCGCGTGCGTGTGGGGGTACGTGCGTGTAGGCGTGCGTCAGGCGGAGGGGAGAGCGGGAAGGACCGCTGACTGACGGCGGGGGTGGGACTGAGGTGAAGATGTCAGCGCAGCTCGGGCCGACAGAGCCTAAAGTCCTGACTCTTAACTTTTATTTTCAGAGGTGGGGAGGGAGGGAAGACATGACCCCTTTGAAAATCCGGGAAAACTGTTGATCATCTCCTGGTAAAAAAAAAAAAAAAAAAGGCACACAGGTTGCATGCAAGCAGGGAGGGCTCCTGGGCCCGTGGACGGCCATCCGTGGTCCCCAGATCATGGCTTCAAGTGGGGAGAAACCCCTATTGGTCACTTTAGGATCTACCATCGTGTCTTTGGATTGTGTGAGAGGAGGAACGGGACAGGTGACTGAGCTGTTGTTGCCTGCTCTCTCTGCGGGCCCGCCTCGGCTCCGCGTCCCTTCGAGGCTGGGTTTGCTGGGCCTCTGGGTGACAAGGCGGGATCACCCCCCCTTCCCGCCTCGTGAACGACTGGAGGAGGGGGTCTCGTGGCCATCCCCTGAAGCCGGGGCGCGGGAGGTGGGGGGCGATCTCGTTAGCCTCAGCCCTGCTGGTGAGCGCCTTGCTAAGGGTGCAGCGCAGGGACTGGGAGCGCGCCCTTGTTTGATTGCCGCCCCAGGGTCTCGACAGCCTGTGTGGAGTGTTGGAAGGAGGACTCTAAAGTTGGCGCTTTGGCGGGGGAGACTGGCTTGGGTTCTGATCCCATCCTTGCCATTAACTAACCGTGGAACACAAAGCAATTGTCCTCATCTTCCCGGGTGTCACTTTCCTCATTTATAAAACAGGGTTGTTGGAAGTGTAACCAAGACTACAATAAATTCCCAGCACACAGAAGCACTTAATAAATGGCAGCAAGAGTAGAAATATGTAGATTTCCAGAGAAGTTAAATTAAACATTTTATTCTGGAAGAGTGTATTAAACTGATGGTTTCTTTTTGGTCTATTCTAGGCACACTTGGTTGTGCCATCTTCATACAAAGCCCACCAAGCCCATTCCATAAAGTCACACGCCTGAAGTAAGTGGGACTTTAATTTGAATTCTTTGCAGCATTCAGGTAGGTAATGATTAGCCCACTATCAGCTCTCACCTGGATGGCTGCGTTAGCGTTGAAGCCTTCATGTGGGCCCTCCTCCCTCCCATGGTCTCCCTGTTGCAGTCAGAGTTACTTTTCCCTCTGAGTGACAAAGTAACCTGCTGGTTCAGAGCACTGACCTTGATGTCTGACAGATCATGTTCACATTGCAGCTCCACACCCTGCTCCACCACCTTCTGGTTGTGTGATCTTGGACAAATCACTTCAGGATTTAAGAATCCTTTCCCTTAAAAAACAACAACAACACCACCACCAAACCAGAATCCTTTCCCTTATCTGTAAAGGGGATGGACAATGGTGGTGGTCCCTGCCTCATTTACGAGTTGTGAGAAGTTACAGAGATAATGCATGCAGAGTGGCCCATAGTAACTGCTCAGTAAAGTGGCAGATTAAAAATGGTAAGAGCAGCGAGGCTGCTAATGAGAGAGTGGTTGCAGTGGTATACCATGGAGTCTAGACTGGCTACGGAGTAAAGGGATGAGGTGGGAATGAGCTGGAGAATGGGAGAAGTCAAAGGATGGGAGATCTTGATGAGAATGAGGAGTGGGTATTCTGAGCACCCAGAAGTAATAAGGGTGGGAGCTTGTAGCCAGAGATTGAGAGAGTGGAGTTCAGGAATTCTGAAGAGGAACAGTCCCATGTTTAACAGGTGGTCTGGAAAACTAATGGCTAGGAATGGCATGTGAAGTGACATGTGATCAGGGATTGCAGAAGTAGAGATCAAGGGACAGTGAAGTTCGAGTGTTGGGTTAGTCATCCGTAGTCATTGAGGTTGCTTATATGATGGCAGGGATTGGAATGGAGAGGAAAATGGAGCTAGTGCCAAAGCCAAGGTCCACCCTGATGAACAGGGAGCAGTCATTTATTTTGCAAATATTTACTGAGCTCTTGCTAGATGTCAAGATATAACAGGACAGACAAAAGTCCTAATCGCACAGAGCTTCCAGTCAAGGGGGAGTGATAATTGGCATTAATAATCCCACCCAAAAATAGAAGACTGCAGACTGTGAAAAGAGCTATAAAGGGAAAAAAAGGGGGGTTATATAAGGGCTTATAGCAGGAGGACCTGACCCTGTCCAAAATGTCAGGGAAGGCTTCCCTGAGGAAGTGATGAGAACTGAAGGATCAGTTCGGGTAGATAGAGGCGGATGAGAGGTGCGTGGAGGAAGTGTCCCAAGTAGAGGAAATAAGCATGTGCAGAGACCTGAAGGTAGAATATGTATAAGGGACTTGAAGAACTGACAGGCATCTCCTATGACTAGGGCATATTAAGCAAGGCGGGGAGCTGAGGCTGAATGGCAGGCAGCAGGCCTCCTTAATTATTTTAGGTTTTATTCTAGGAGCAATGGGACTACACCTATTAAAGGGTTTTAATTAGGTGAATGACATAATCAGATTTCTCTATTTGTATGTTAATTCTTCCCCCCCCAGTTTTATTGAGATATGATTGAGATATAACATTGTTTAAGGTGTAGAACATAATGATCTGATACATGTACTTATTGGAAAATTATTACAATATTTCTTAAGTAATGCATAACTATATGCTCATAAAAAATAGTCAAACACAGAAGTATGTAAATTGTGAAAATCTAGTTTGTACTTTTGTGTGTATACATTAGAATATATGTATGTATATATACACACATATATGTATACATTGTTGTATTTGTATACAATATAATTATATATATAAAATATAGCAACTGGCTTTTTCCACTTAACAGTGTGTCTTTGACTTTTTCCATGTCTTTATTTTTTATTTACTCAGTAATATATAAGTATATTTTCATGGTAAAAGATCAGAACAATATACAGGTATAGAGAGAATGAATTTTGAAACTTGCCTTTCCTGCTCCCTCCCTATTTGTCATCCCACCAAAAAACAAAACAAAACAAAACCATCAACAGTTTGGTGAATATCCTTATGGTATCCTTTCCATGCATTTATATTAAAAAAGAAGTACTTATACACATATAGAATTTTTTACATAACTGGAGTCATTCATATTGTTATGCTGCTTTTAAATTTCTTATTTATTGACTTAATTCACATAGGACACATGAATATATACACTTTTCTTTCAAAGGATTAGAGTTTTAAAGGGAAGGCTAAAAGCTTCTGTCACTGATTTCCTCCCTGCCCCTCCTCCTCCCTACTCACTGTTTGGCTTATCTTCTCTTAGACTTTTTCTGTTCATTTGCAAACATCCTCTCTCCCTCCCTCCCTCCCTCCCTCCCTCTCTCTCTCTCTTCCTCATACACACAGAATATATAGTATTATTTAGTGTTATTAAAAACTATAAATTGTATTGTGCTTATATGTATTGCTTTGCTACTTGCTTTCACTCATTATGTCTGAGAAATTTTCATGTTAGTACATAAACATCTAACTTGTCCTTTTTCACTGTTGCATAGTATTCTACAGAATAGATAGGCTATAATTTGTGTAGCGATTTCCCCACTGATATGGTTATTTCCAACTTTTTTGTTAATATAAAACGCACTGCAATGTAAATCCTTGTACGTGCCTCTCTCTTTCCTTTCGCTACTGACTTCTAAATGCTATCTTTAGTCAATACTAGATTTTTATGCATACTTAGGTTTATTTCAGGATTCTCTATTCAGTTCTACTGATCCATTTATTTATACCTGCATTCATACCACATTTTTAATTTCTATAGTTTTATAACATGTTTAATATCTGGCACGGAAAGAGCCTCCTTTTTTCTTCAAAATTTTTTTGTTATTCTTGCATATTTACTTTTTTATAAGGATATTAGAGTGAGATCATCATACCCATATAGAATCTTATTGGGGATTTTGTTGCCATTGTACTGAGTTTATAGATTTAACTGGGGAGAATTTGCATCTTTACATTGAGTCTTCCTTTTTATGAATAAACATGGCTCTCTATTCAAATTTTTAAGTTCTTTAGTAATGTTTTATAATTTTCTTTCTTATAATATGTCTTGAACATACCTTGTTTGGGTCATTTCTAGATACTTTATAGTTTTTGTTGCTACTATTAACAGGATTTTTTCTTTCATTTTATAATTATTATGGGTATATAAGAAAACTATTGGGTTTTCTATGAAATCATGTGTGTCCAACAACTTTACTGAATTCTGCTTTATTTCTAATAGTTCGTTCATTGATTCTATTGGATTTTCTAGGTAGGCAAACAGATTATGTGCAAATATTGATAGTTTTGTCTTTGTCTTCAACCTGTATACTATGTGCATTTTTTTTTTTTTTTGCCTGAATGCATTGGCTAGGACCCTGTATAAGATTGAATAGTAGCAATGATATCAGACATCCTTATCTTATCCCTCCCTTTAACAGATATGCTTCTAAGTGAAATAAGTCAGTTAGAGAAAGACAAATACCATATGATCTCAGTCATATGTGGAATTTAAGAAAGAACACAGATGAACATATGAGAAGGGGAAAATTAAAAAAGGAGAGAGGGGAACAAGCCGAAAGTGACTTTTAATGACAGAGAACAAACTGAGGGTTGATGGAGGGAGGTGGGGGAGGGGATGGGCT